GGGCGGGGGCGGGGCGGGGCCGGGAGGGGCGGGGCGGGCCGTTCCACCCCACGGCCCGAACCACTTCCTCGCGGCGGGGGGGAAGGGCGCCTGGGTCTCGGCCCTGCGCGCCCAGGGCAGCGCTGGGGGCCTGCTCTGCTCGGGTTAGGCGGAATGGTGGAGAGAGGAGGAGTTCTCGAGTCCTCATTCCAAGGGGCGCGCCTGGTGATTCTAGGTGCTCCCTCAGTCCATCCCCCTAGGACTCCCCCGCGGAGATTGGTACGGCCTGGCAGCTGGAACGTGGGCTGGGGAAACCGAGCACGTGTAGGGCAGGCCGAGGGCTGCGGAGGCTTACGTTTTCCTTCTTTTTGCAGGTCCTTAGATTGGCCGGTAGATGCAAAGGTCCCGCCTCTGGTCAGTGGTTAGGTTAGAGTTGAGTTTCTAAACCGCTCACACTGCTTCTGCCTTTCCATCTAATTTAAAGGAAACCTCACAGAGCATAAATTGCTGGCTGCTGGGGACCCAGCCTGATCAACCCAGGCCCTGCCCTTGGTCGGGGGGAGGGGAGGTTGGTAGAGACGACCACAGACGCTGGGAACAATGCTGGGACAAGAAAGAGGCCGGGGGTTATGGAACCATAGATGAGAGAGGACCCTGGCTCCGGATGGGGGCAAGGTATACTTCCCAGAGGTCGGTGCACAGCAGGTTTGGCGTCAGATAGACCTGGAGTCCCGTTCTGGCACTTCTTTTCTTGAACTTCAATTTCCATATTTGTAAAATGGGAATAATAATTATTTCGTGAAGTGCTTTGAGAACTAAATGAGGTGTTAAAAGAGCCTAGCAGAGTGCCTGGCATATAGAAAGTGTTCCAAAGTTATTTTCATTGCCTATTGATGAGGAGGTGGAGGGTGTGGGGGCAAGTCAGAAGGACAGGCATAAACTCTTAGAATCTTAGAAAAGCCAGTGTGTTTGGTGCAGGGCTAGAGGGCCCGGAGTGGCTGGAGCACAGACAATAGTGGGAAATGAGGCTGAAGTGAGAGAGGCTGGGGCTTGATCTTAGGAAGGCCCTTGAGTGTCACTCTCGAGACACTAGGGTGGGACTGGAATTCTTGGGAGAGCTATAAGTAGGGAAATGACAGTGGTCAGAGGAGTTTTAAGAGCCCTTTAGCCATAATGTAGGAAATGGACAGAAGAGGCTTTAGGCCAGGAGGGCAGTGGGGAGGCTGCAGGAGGGACCCCCGTGGGAAAAGATAAGCCTCAAGCTAGAGCAGTGGTAGAGGGAGTGGAGGGAAGGGCTGCTCTACAGAAAAACATGGGAGGAGGTGAGATCCACCAGAAAGTGGTGGAGTGACTTATTGGATGTGGAGAATGAGGGAAAGAGTGGGGGCAACAAGCATGTTGGTGAAAAGACATTTCTTGGGCACAGCTGAGAAGGCTGGCTTTGGGGTTACAGCATAAGAAGAGAGGGAGTCTCTGCTTTGGAGGTCTTTACCATCTCTTTGCAGGGGGAGGGGAGAATAAGTCACAGGGCAGCGTGGGACAAATGCCACTGGTGGGACCTAGAAACACTTCCATTTGTCCAATTCAAGGCCACAGGTTAAATCTCATTGAGAAAGTGCCACTAAACCCTGAAGCCTGAGTTTGCCAAGAGTAGAAGGAAAAGCATCCCAGGCAGAGACCGGTGTGTGGTGAGGCCCTGAGGCTGGAAAGAGCTTGGTGCCTTTTAGGAAACTGAGGGAAGGCTAGTGGCATACCATGTGAGTGGGGGGAGGGGGGCGCGGGGGACTCATATGTGCAAAGGCTGGGAGGTGGAAACAGGTGTGGTATATTTTTGGGCAAAGAGGATGGTAGATGCTGAAGGTGCAGGGAATTCTTGCATCCTCTCCTCAGAGAGGGTGTTCTTGGAAGCAAGATTCTTGCTGGCCCAGAAGACCCCAGGTCAGTGTGTGGCTTGTGCCTACCCCAAAAAGGCCTCCCGTGGAGGAGGCCTTGGGCTGGAACCCATGGTCCACCCATTCACCTCATAGTATGATCTAAGGGGCAGAGCTTGGGCTGGGAGGCAGGAGGCCTGGGTTCTGGTCTCTCCACTACCACTAATTTGCCAGGTGGCCTTGGGAAAGTCACTATTCCTGTCTTATCTAGATTTCAATTTCTGCATCAGGATATGTAGGTGACAGTTCCTTATCTTGCTGGCTTATCTGCTTCTCCACTGAGCCAGAAGCTTCCCAAGGGCAAGGGACCGCACCACTCTATGGTCCAGTGAGGGCCTGGCTCAGCATAGAGGCTTGGTCCATGGTGGACTGACCAATGAATGAGTACAATAGAGTCACAGAGAAGGAGAAAATGATAAATTGGGAAGGTGGAGAGGAGATTACATTGCTGCTGGACCTGAGAGGATGACTGTTCTGCCAGACAGAGAAGAAGGGAAAGGGTGTTAGGCAGAGGCCTAGAGGTGTGTGCAAAGACCTAGAGGTGGGAATCACGTAATGCCCTGCCTTGCTCTTCCTGCAGATGTGTGAGCAGGACGGCTGTGAGAATGTGTTCTGGGACCCGCATTACCTTTCCTTCCCCGTCTCCCAACCCAACCCACAGGCGCTTTGACCAAACCAGAGATAGGTCAAATCATGCCTGGCTTGACCAGGGTGGGCTTTACTAAGGGTGGCACGTCCTCCTAACCCGCTTTGGTCACCAGTGGTGTGCTTCCATTAGGAATTATGTGTGCAGCTTTGTGGTTTGAGGGGTCCCGGCACATGTACCTCTGAGACATTACAGTGATGGGAGCCTTAGCCCTTCTGTTGCACAGATGAGGAGGGTATGGGGCCAGCCTACAAGGCAGAGAGTAAGCCTGTCCTCATAGAGGCACAGGGAGAAAGACAGAAACATTTACCAAGCACCCTGCTCTGTGCTAGATCCTGGCTTGTGTGAGCTTACCCAATCCTCACAGTCAAGGGGTGATTACCACCTGCTTTGCACATGAGGTGCAGAGAGGAGAAATGACTGGTCCAGAATCACAAAGTGAGTAGGTTGTAAAGCTGGGATCCATACCCAAGTCTTCCTGAACCCCAAGCCCATATGCTTTCCCTGCCTCACAGAGCTGGGGAGAGAGAACACCTCTAACACCAGAACTACTTGACTAAAGCAAATTCCCATATATTGCCTCCTTTAAGCTTCCCCCATAGCCCTGTGAGTTTATTCCCATTTTCCAGTTGGGAAAACTGAAGCTCAGAGAATCAGAGAGCTTGCCAGAGGTCAGTGATCGTGTTGGGTTTTAAACCAGTTCTTGTGCCACAAGGCTAGAGCCCGGTTGGGGTTACATTCCAGTGTTCAGCTCACTTGGAGAGTGCAAGGGCAGAGGTTCTGGCAAGAGGTGGGCGGATTGGCATGGCCTTCTGGCCCCGACACTCACCCACCTCCTTCCCCATCTGAGAATTTCCCAGCCAGAGCAGCTTTGTGGCATGGCTGCACCTCTCCTGGGACTCCTTCCCTCCAATTTCCAATCTCTCTGTCATCCCTCTTCTGGGTGACTTCCCTGCATGCTGCTTGGTCATCAGGGGCCAGAGGGTGTAGTGTCTCGGGTGTCAGTCTAAGGAGTCTGGACTCTATCGGCAGAGCAATGGGGAGCCATAAAAGTTTTTAGCTGGGGTGAGGTATGGTCAGTTTTATGCTTTAGAAAGATTATTGTCCAGCAAGAATACCTCAATGGCACCCTTCGTGGCTACCTCTGCCTTGTGTTAGGGTCTCTGCAGGAAACATCCCACTCAAATTAGGTAGTATGAGAAAAGTTTAATACAAATATTGTTTACAAAGCTATAGGTGGGGTATAATTGTCCAGCAAGAATACCTCAATGGCACCCTTCGTGGCTACCTCTGCCTTGTGTTAGGGTCCCTGCAGGAAACATCCCACTCAAATTAGGTAGTATGAGAAAAGTTTAATACAAATATTGTTTACAAAGCTATAGGTGGGGTATGGGGAAACTTAAGCACAGTTTAGTAG